GACTTTCCTGCCCGGGCTGGCTTTGAACCTCGATCCTCAGATCTCAGCCTCCTGAGTAGCTAGGATTACAGGCGTGAGCCACCGGCGCCCGGCTAAAATGAAGTCATCTTGACTTTTTCCCTCACCCTAAACCACCAAGGTCCTGTTACTTCCTCCCAAATCTCAGACCTAGTCCATGCCAGCATCTTTCCTGATGGCTCCGTTAACAATTGCCATATTTGCTTTAGATCTCAGCCTCCTGAGTAGCTAGGATTACAGGTGTGAGCCACTGGCACCCAGCTTGCTTCTATTCTTGACCTGTTCCACCAGTTTTTCATTGTTTACATATTAAGGAAGTAAATCAGCTGTGGCTTTTCCCAGACTGTTTTGCTCAAGACCAAATTCCTCCAGTGCCTTGAAAGATCTAGACCCCTTACTTAACCACTCCAGTGATAGCTTACTGTTTTCTCCAATGCTAGTCATTTCCAGCCACATAGGTCTTGTTTTTGTCCTTGAGCACTACACTTATCTCCACTCAGTACCCTTTCTTTTCTTTTTTTTTGGTGTCAGTCTGGGGCTTGAGCTTAGGGCTCCTCATTTTTGCTTGGCTTTTTTGCACACTGCTAGTGCTATATGTTTGAACTGCACCTCCAGGTCTAGCTTCTTGCTGGTTAATTGGAAATAAGTCTGAGTCTCTTGGATTAGTCTGTTCTGGCTGGCTCTTAATTTACATTCTTCAGCCTCCTGAATAGCTAAGAGTATAGGTGTAAGCCTCTGCTGCTCATTTTAAGTCTTCACAATAGCATCTCTCACATTTTATCATTCTCAATTTTATGAAAACTATTAACTTTTTTGCTACATATGAATTTAGTAGTTGTATCCCTACCTATTTTATCCTGTTTTTTATAGATTTTTAACCTATTACCTTAAATAAAAGGAAAAAATTTCAGTAATTCCATTTTAAATCAAAAGATATGTTGCAGTATTTAAACAATGTCTTAAAGTGACTTTCCATGGGCTATATGTTCAAAGGAAAATAAACTTGAGAGATTTCACATGCAAGGTTAACCATATAACCAAAATCCTAGACATGAAGAACAAAGACCACCAATCAGTTTGTACTCTTTGGTAGAAGTTTCACAGCCATAGGTGCATCAACATCTATAATCCTCACTGCAACTCTTGTCATTACTACAATGACCTCATTTTACATAAGAATCCATACCTCAAGAGGTTTAAAGTAAAACCCAGGTCTTGAACACTTAATTTAGGGAGATCTCCTTATTCTTCTTTATTATATAATCCATTCTTTATAGTGTGTAACATAATTTGGTAATTTTATTTTTTCCCCCTTCTCTCTAGAATTTAAGCTTTCTGAGGTTAGAAACCTAATTAGTCTGGTTTATTATTCTCTTTGGTGTCTAGCACACTGTCTGCATCTGCTTAGAAGGCAAGTTGAGCCTTTTTACCTATTTAAGCCATGTTGCTTAATCTTGCCTTTCCTTTTCAAACAGTTCCTACTTCAGAGACTTCTCCTGGGCCCCCACTGATGGGGCCTCCACCTCCTTCAAGTAAGGCTCCCAGACCTCCACCTGTGGGGAACTGTCCTGCCTCCAGTGTGGAGCCCACAAGCTTCCCAGTCATTGAGTCTGAGGCTCTAATGGAGGATGTGCTAAGACCTCTGGAACAGGCATTAGAAGACTGTCGTGGCCACACAAAGGTAAGCCCTGGCTCAAGTTGTTGGGTGGGAGAGTGGGAGTGAAGCTGAAAGGGAGAGAACTTTCTATAGCCAAATGCAGGTATGGCTACCAAAGTAGATTGTCTAAGTGTGGCAATAGCTCTCTGTGTGTGAGTGTGTGTGTGTCGGTCATGAGGCTTGAACGCTGGGCCTGGGCACTGTCCCTTTGTGCTCAAAGCTAACACTATACTGGAGCCACAGCTCCACTTTTGACCCTTTGGTGATTAATTGGAGATAAGAGTCTAATGAACTTTCCTGCTATGGCTGGCTTCAAACTTTAATCCTCAGATCTCAGCCTCCTGAGTAGTTAGGATTACAGGTATGAGACACTGGTACTTGGCTAGGGCAACAGCTCTTAATCCTTTTAAAGCTATGGACTGATAAAGCCTTCCCCAGAATAGGAACACAGGACTTAAGAAGGATTAGTCAGTAGTAGATGACTTATGGGAGTAAGAGTTAATTCAGCTCATTAGTGAATAGCAGCTGGATTTTCTGTATATGTATGTAGCCTATCCAGAATATTTCCTGCTGATTTTGTTTAGTGAATTTGTTTTGCTCAGTAGGGGGCAGAAAAATCCCTTTTTACTTAGTAATGCTTCAATTTTCTAGAGGCGAATCAAAGAAAAGGGAAGTAGCATGGCAAATCTTACCTTTGGCTCTTATTTCCAAAGTATAAGATGAGCTTCTAAGGGTCTGAGAAGCCTCTGAAATTTTAAAATCCTCCCCCCCCCCCCCGTGTTCTTCAGTTCTCACAGTGAGGGCCTCTAACCTTTGAGTAAAGAATGGACTAAGTGTAAAAGAACATCCTGGGCCAGAGAAAGCGAGTGCACCTATGAGGTGCTGACTTCCTCTTTCTCAGCTGGTGGCACTGAGTTAGAGGGGGCTGTCTTTCAGAAGCAGGTGTGTGATGACATCAGCCGACGCCTGGCACTGCTTCAGGAGCAGTGGGCTGGAGGGAAGTTGTCTATGCCTGTAAAGAAGAGGATGGGACTACTAGTGCAAGGTATGTGTAGATTCTTTGGTGTAGCTTAAGTTCTTGGTCCTGCCAGGGTTGGCTGAGCTGGAACAGATAATAAGATTTTGACTGAGGGAGGTGGGAGCACTTAGGCTGCCCCCTTTACCCGTGTGCTTGTTCAAGCCCTGTCTCTCCTCAGAACTTTCAAGCCACCAATGGGATGCAGCAGATGACATCCATCGTTCACTCATGGTTGATCATGTGACTGAGGTCAGTCAATGGATGGTGGGAGTTAAAAGATTAATAGCAGAAAAGAGGAGTCTGTCTTCAGAGGAGGAGGCCAAAGAAGAGAAATCTACAGTCACAGCTGAGGAACACCAGACTATACCAGGCTTCCAACAGGCTCCATAATCCTGGGGGCTCCTCAGACTCACCTCATACCATCTCCTGTGCCTTGGTGTGGAAGGCTTTCTCTCACTTGACACCTTCTTACTACCAGGAAGACACAGTCTGGTTGGGCCTGACCCAAGCTCCTACCAGGATTTCAGGGATGTTACCTGTTATTCATACACATTTCAATAAAAACATATCAACGGTGGGCACTGGATAGGAAGGATGACCCTTCCTATGCCATCCCCTCTGGTGTCATCTGCTCTGGTCCCTGAAAAATCTAATCTCTGTAGTCTTTTATCTTGTAGGGCTAGATTGCAGCAGCCTGTGTTTGGGTGACTTAATGTCAACATTGAGTGCGGATTCACATAGCATGGGGCCTATGTGAATTTTCCAACTAAAGGAAAGATTGTTCTTTTTGCCTTGTGTCAGTCATCTTTGAAGTATACAGATACTACAAAGATTAGAATCAGTCAGTTACTGCTGTGTGAGTTGAAAAAGACCAGATTACTGAAATTTGGGAAATATGATTCTCATGAAGCAAGTGGTGCTTTGGTGGTCTTTTAACTTTCAGTGAATAACAGAACTGGTTGGAACCAAAGAAGTCCTTGGTGGATAGCATGTGAAATAGGAAGATACAAGGTTTTCAGTATTTGAATGGGTGATTGGCACCTACAATAGGAAGCAGTAAAAGCAAGGAGAGAAGCTAGGGATGACTGACTGTAAGCTGGACTTTCATTTTTTGCCAGTCCTGGGGCTTAAATTCAGGGCCTGAGCACTGTTCCTGAGTGTCTTTGGCTCAAGATTAGCACTCTATCACTTGAGCCACAGCTCCACTTACGGCCTTTTCTGCTTATGTGATACCGAGTTCATGCATGCTAGGCAAGCACTCTACCACTAAGCCAAATTCCCAGCCCAGCCTGGACTTTCTCACCTATGAGGAATGGACAGGGGAGTGGCTGCTACGAAGGTCCAGTTCCAGGAAGGCTGCTTCCTGGGAAAGATAGGAACAGCCCTTGGCAAGGATTATCTATTGCCCTTTATGTTTTTGACTGTAGCCCACCCCAGGCTCTAATCACTGCTGGAAGTGGGCGCAATGGGGAATCTAGGCTCCCAGGGGCCCTCAAGTACTAGGCTGAAGCGAAAAGATCATCATTGAGAAGAACACTGGAACCAAGTCATTTCCAAATGTTTACTAAACAGCCAAAAGTTGACATACTGCATCCCCCAGTGCTATCCTTGAGCAGAGAGGGCTTAGAAGAGTTGCTAGGAACCAAAGAGAGAGTAGAGGTAAGGACTTGGCAAGTTGCCTACTCCTGTCCCTGGTCTAGCTGCCTCAGAACTAAAGGAAGCCCAGAACCAACAAGTCCCTTGTTTCTGAATTGATGCCAGTCAGCCTTTGGTAGGATACCCCAAGAAGAGGTGGTGGGCAGCAGCCACACAGGGAATCCCTCTTAACTCCACATGGGGTCTTCTGCACTGGGTTACATGTCCATTTCAAATTGTGCATCATCTAAAAGAGAATTCAAGAATGTCAGTCCTGAAACCCTCTTGGAATTGAAACCTACCCTATTTCACAGGGGCATTTAAGCTCAAAAGGATGGGACATTTCCGAATTCAAGGTTCTCTTTTCCTTACCAGGTATCTCTTCCTCTGTCTCCTTCTGCTCCTTCAGCAACTCCAGCTTGTGGGGTGGGGCTGTTGGAGGAGTTGTGACCCCGGGAATCTGAGGGAGACAGCAGGGGGGTGTCCGGGCAATGGGTGAGTTCTTGAACTCCAGCAGGAACTTTCGGTCGTAGATGATCCTGGTGCCTGTTAAGTGGTAAGGATTGAGGTTAAGAGTGAGGAACATAGATAAGCAAACTTGGGCTCAGATGTAGGCCTTTTGCATTTTCTTCTGTATCAATACATCTGCTCTGTATCCCAGTGAGGGTCTCGTGACAAACCATAGCACTGAAAAACTTAATTGTGTCTAAGCACCATAATGCAACTTCATTCTGGTTTATCCTAAAAGCAGGAGTTTTGGGTTTGGGAGAATTTCAGGCATTGGTTTTAACAAAAGCACTAAACTTTAATTATTTCAGGGTGCTCCTCTAGAATTTCCTTGCTTTGATTCACAAGGTGGGGCTTTAGCTGTTCAACAGATCAAAAAGCTGGGGCTCCACCTAGTGCTGCCACTTAGGGCTCTTCTCAAGAGAGTGAGCCATTCATGAGAACACCTGCTTTGCCTGTAAAACTTGGGACACATTGTTCTTACCCTGACCCCTCCCAAGTCCCAAGTTTGGCCCTCCCTAACCCAGAGTAACTTGTCCAGTAATGTCCTCAAAGGGCACTTTGCTGTTTACAACCCCTCCCCTCTGCCTCCACGTAGCCGGAACCCCCGAGTGAAAGCCCAGCTGTTCACCATCCAGGTTGATCGCCTAGCCAAACAAACAGCTATCAGCCAGATGCACAACTGCTGTAGCCATTTTGTAAGATCTGGTTGCTGCCCAGGCCCCGTTCAGCTGGGAGTTTATCCCAGGTAGCTAGGTCGTTAAGAGCAGGAGCTCTTAGCGCCCAGAACCCAGACCACAGCAAGGAGCCAATCACCCGGAAGCTGGGCGTTAGGCATGGTTGCATCACTTTTGAGGTTTTGGAAACTTGAGTTTTGGTTCCAAACGTTTTCCCCCAAAGCTGCAACCTGCAAAAGGCACTGCGGTTAAGTCCAAGCCCCACACCTCCCCACCCCCACAACACGTGCTGGTTTGCCCGCACACTGCGGACCCCGGCCCGCTGACCTCCCGGGGTAGTAGAGTATGGCGTGCCCCCTGGCGTGGTGCTGTAGCAGTCCGGCAGCAGGTCCCGGCCCCCGGGAATCGGGCAGCTCGTGGATGTGGACATAGCGAGCAGGAGGCGCAGGAAGACAACCGGATGGTGCTGTGGACGCGGACCGCAGCTCTGAGTAGGTGGACTTAGTTGACCACGTGCGGCCGCAGGCAACAACACTAGAAGGACGTCACGCCCGGGGCGGGGCATTGGCCGCCACTCAACCCGACAGTCCCGCCTACCCGATAGCGAGTTAAGCTCGGGCTCCGAGAAGTTGGAAGACTCCCAGGCTGCACCCGACTCCAGATCTTCCTAGATTAACAATGGCCTACTTGTCTGAGTGCAGCAGCTCATCTAGTTACTCTTTAGGTTTGGTGGGGACAGGTGAAGTACAGCAGACCTTTTAACATCGCTTTTGGATTATTTTTAGCAACATTTTACCTTGACTGTGGCATAAACCCAGAGGGCAGACTGTTTCAAGATTACACACATCTAGTATATACGTGACTACAGAGCCTAGGCCCTTCAGCGTGTTTGTGTACTGGTCCCCATAAACAATCAAAAGAAGTTCTGGGTGAAGAGTGTCTAGCTTGGGGGCTTGTTTCTGAATACCTGATGCCTGACCTAAAAGTGAGTAAAGGGCAAGGTGCTGGTGAGGGCAGCTTGGTCTGTTAGCTCTCTGGAAAGGACGGTTAGTGTGAATTGCTTCCTGGGAGACAGAGAGAGAGTGGGCAATCATATGATAGGCCAGAGTGTGAGGTGATAAAAGAGCTAAGTTCTAGGTGTAGCAACTATAGACACTAAAATTCTTTATTTCAGTTGTCCTGTCTGGCTTTCTTAAGATTATTAATATCCTAACTCCCTCAAACCTCCAGACTTCATTTAGAAATATATCAATTCTGGTGTCATCAGATTTTTTCTGATTTTACCATTCGTTAAAAAATTAAATCTTAAAAAAAATTAAATCTTAGCTGAGTGCAGGTGGCTCATGCCTGTAGTCCTAGCAACTCAGAAGGTTGAGATCTGAGTATTGCAGTTCGAAGCCAGCTTGGGCAGAAAAGTCCTTGAGGCTCTTATTTCCAATTAACTACCAAAAAGAAAACCAGAAATAGATCTGTGGCTCAAGTGGGTAGAGTACTAGTCTTGAGCAGAAAAGTTCAGGAACAGTGCCCAGACTGAGTTTGAGCCCCAAGATGGCACATACAAAAAAGTTAAAATTTATTTATTTATTTTTTTGTTTTTGTTTTTTGGGTCTGGTCCTGGGGCCTGAACTCTGGGCTTGGGCGCTGTCCCTCAGCTCTTCAGCTCAAGGCTAGCGCTCTACCACTTGAGTCACAGTGCCACTTCTGGCTTTTTTTCTTTTTGCTCATGTGGTGCTGAGGAATCGAACCCAGGGCCTCAAGCATGCAAGGCAAGTGCTCTACCACTGAGCCACCTTCCCAGCCGAAAATAGGATTTTTTTTTTTTTTTT